ATATATGTCAAGTTACGTAGAAATATACCTCCAAATATCACGAAAATACACCTGCAAATATCTCGAAAATATACCTCCAAATATCACGAAAATATACCTGCAAATATACCGTCGTCCGTTTTTCCATTCTCTCTTTCCGCTGTGTGTTCAATGAATCTTTTCCATATATAAAACCCTGATATTATGCCCCCTAAAAATATGGAAACTGTTTCATCACACAGGTAACGGTTTTTTTAGACATGAACATAATATTTTTTTATCTCTTAGGTAAATACACAAATTTTTTTGTTTGAATAGTAATTTTGCAATTAACTAAAAAACGGTAAGTAGATGTAAAAATTTCCATAAGGGATTTATCATATTACTTTTGGGCCGACCCAAAGGCGTGGTCCACTAATAAATCCTTTCTTCCATTTTTCCGGCGGTAAGAATGATATATAGCTGAGCCTGAGCAACCTTTTCTCCCAACTGAGGCCTCCATGGCCCCCGCCTTTCTCGCCGGAATTTGTTCCCGTTTTAGGTTATCTCTCCGTCACTTACAGGTTTCGATAATCTCAAACACTCGTCGGAACCCATGAAGGGACGGAGCCTGACACTCTATTTTCAATCCACATGGCGCATTTGGCAACGGGAATCGCAAGAGTCCCCTTGGTTTAGGAAGTTTCAGGATTCTCTTTCACATTAATGGGTAAACAAATGTTCTCAGCTTTTTCATATTCTGTCTAATTTAACTGCCCATTAGACAATAATCGGAACCCTTGTACCCTCTGAATGAATGCTACTGCCTTGGATTGAAGTTGAGAAAATCAGGTGCCCTTTTTCAGAATTTACATGGAGGAAACCAGACAAAACCCAATTGGAAAGCGCCCAAAGCTTTCGGATGGAGAGCAAAACATGACCTCGATCGATAGGCTGAGCAGCTTGCCGGACGAAGTCATATCCCACATTCTCTCTTTCCTCCCGACTATGTGGTCAGTGGCGACCAGCATTCTCGGAAAAAGATGGAGGTTTCTATGGGCCCATGTACCCTGTTTGGACTTTAGTGGAGTCGATTTCAATGATGATGGAACACAAGATTCAGACATCATCCACAGGGTTATATTGCGGCACGAGGCTAAAAGAATGGATACTTTAACACTCTGCGACCTCAACTGCAACGATTATCAACTGGAGACATTGATTACAGCTGCCATCGACCGTGGTATCCAGAATCTTTATCTTGAGCTTGACTTCGATACATTCCCTCGATGCATCTTCAATTGCAAAACCATTGTAGACTTGAAGCTTGATGTTTCATATATGAGAGTGTTACTCTCTGCTGTGGACAATGTCTCTCTGCCTAGCCTCAAGAAGTTTCATGTTTCTTCTAGTGTTGTGTAACTTGTGTGTGAGAATGATGATGCCCTCCCTCACTTTCTTTCCGGCTGTCCGTCGCTCGAGGAGTTGAATATGGCAATCATCTTTGATTGTGATTATGTGGGCTGCATAAACATATCATCACCCACGATAAAGACTCTTGAGCTCTATCTTAGCTATGAGTTTGATCCAGATATACCTGAATATAGGATGATAATAAATGCCCCGGCACTTAGGTATCTCCGAGTGGATGACTATGACTTGGAGTGTATAACAATTCCTATAACCATGATCTCCTTAGTTGATGCGGATGTCTGCTTAATAAATTATTCCTTGTTAGATCTCAAAACAAATTACAATTCCACAGTGAAGTTTCTTCATTCTCTGTGTTATGTAAAGTGCCTAAAGATATCAGGTTGGGAATTTGACGAGGTATGTAATATGTTTTGATTCTTCAGTCTCCAAGGCTCCTGTCAATTAGTTTTTGGCTTTGTTATTATATATATGCGTAATGTGGTTTTAATATTTTCAGTCTGTTCATGGAGGAGATAGAGGAATTGCTTGGTCAACTGTGAAGTTTGATAATTTAACTAAACTTGAAGTCCAGTTGAACTTCAAATGGAGTTTGCTTGTAAAGTTCCTAGAAGTTGCTGATAATCTTCAAGTCCTTATAGTAAGTGGAGTTTATCGTTGATGCAATTAAATTTGTCTTTAGCTGTTTCTCGTTTTTCTTACAGCAGTAGCTCCTTCTTTTGTTTTACTCATTTTGTTATGCTCCTTTTAGTGTGATCAGGTTTATTACGGAAAGGGATATTTGTGTGCGGCGCCCGAACAAGTGCCTAAATGCCTCTTATCATGTCTAAGAACCATAAAAATTAAGTCGATGGTTTTCAATAAACATGAATTCGACATGGTAAGATATCTTTTGAGGAATTCTCGAGTATTGGAGAGGATGGAACTATTTTATATATGTGATGATCTGGAAATGAAATTTGAAGCGCTTAAGAGAGTTTCATCGTTTGAGCGAGGATCCGATGCATGTCAACTTGACCTCCTTCCGTTTTGCTGAGTGATTGGCCTGAATTCTTATTATGTAGTAAGTACTGATGTCTGCATTCGACAACTTAATATTCCTCAAGTTCTGTATTAACTATTTCGACTTGCTTATGTTTGGTGCAATTGTGAGACAATGAAAATTCTTTGGGTATGTAACATGATGATGATTCATTAACTCCCCAAGCGTTGTGATGTTCAGTGTTGCTCAAGTTTAAGTGGCATTTGTACCCACGCTTGTTTCAGTAGCAGCTACTCATTTACTTGCAAGTAATCCTCAACTAATTTTGTCTTGAGTTTGAATTTAAGCTTCAATGTATATATTATTGGCATGTTTTGAAGCTTCAATTAATGTATATGACAAGATA